TGAGATAGTGAGTTAGGCTTAGACTTAGGCCTGCCCTCAGATTGGTTTTGGGGCACCCTGATCAGCAAGGGTTCCTCAGATAGGTTTTGGGGCACATTGATCACCAGTGGGGCGGGGGCTGAGGGTGGACCAGCGAGGGGGGGTGCCAGAGTTCCCACGAGCGAACCACTCATCACTGAGTGCCTTGAAGCACGTGTTAGTTGCATGAGTGGTTTGGATGCAGCGTTGGCCTCGAGTAGGGCCATAGAGGGGAAGATACTGACAGGGTGGGAAGGTCGCTGCTGCACCACGACACACGCCACCGCGACCGCCAGAGCCGCCTCGCCCACCACCACGCCCGCCTCCACGCCCACCCCCACGCCCGCCCTTGCTGCTGCTGTGCCGCTGCTGCGGTGGAGGAGGAATGGCGAAGGATTTCAGCTTCAGTGGTGATGATCCATTGTGCAACTTGAGCGCGAGTGTCATGCTTGGAGAGGAGCTGCATGCATGCTAGCTTGTGGGCATCGAAGGCAGGGGTGAGACCCTGGAGGAGGTGGCAGCAGATGACGGTGTCAGGGTAGACAACACCCAATGCTGCAAGGCGGCGAGCAAGGTCGAGGACGCGGCGGGCGCCGGCGGTCGAGTCCATGGTGAGGGACCCAGTCATACGTGGTTATGACCAAAGGCACGGCATAGATTTCGACCAGACCCTCGCTCCGGTCAGCCGCCATGCCTCCGTGCGAATTTTACTCGTGATCACCACAGCAAGGCACCTCCCGCCCCGCCAAATTGACGTGAAAAACACGTTCCTGTATGCGTTTGTAGATGCGGTGGAGCAGCCACACACTTACGGAGAGGGTAACCCGTGCGTGTGTCAGTTGAAGAAGTCGATTTACGAAAATCAAACAAGCACCAAAATCCTACTCGTAATAGGATTCACGCAGCTGTCGGGATGTATCGCTTGAATTTTTGTGGCGATTACATCCTGCTCACAGTGTACGTACATAATTTGCTCTACACAGGATCGAGCAACACGCTGCCCTGCCAGTTTGAGGAGAACCTGGCGATGCGCGTCGACATCACCACTAATCACGACGTGAAGCAGTTCTTGGGCCTTAATATCTCCTACGCGCCAGAGGCCATCACCTCTCAGAGCTGCTAAGTATGCTGAAACATTTGAGAAGCGGTTCAACGTCACTCCTGCACCACTCTCCACTCCTTACCGCACACCCGGACCGAACCACAAACCCGACAACCAAGCCCTATCTCCCGCAGGCCTTCACACATAGCAGGAGCAGCTGGATGCATGCTCTTTGCCTTAGTAAGCTACAAGCCAGATCTCTCGTTCATCACGAGCCAGCTGGCTCAGTACTCGCCCAAACCAACGGCTGAGAATCTTCTAGATCTTTAGCGCGCCCTGGAATTCTTCATCTCCATGCCCAACATTAGACTCTGCTACTCCACAGTCGCAACTCCCTCTTTCAACCTCATCGGCTACGTGGATGCCGATCACGCTGCTGACCCCGACAATCAACGGTTCAGAATTGTGGATGCCAACAAGGCCCGTCTCCTGGAACTCGCAGAAGGAGGAACTAGTTGCCCGATAATCGACGGAAGCATAATTCATTGCCGCGACAGTAGCAGCTCGCGAAGGTCTCAACCTGCAAGAGCTCCTGCAGGAAGCGAAAATCCCAACTTCGTCGACATTCCACCTGCCTGCGACAACCAGAGCACACCAAACCGAATCATCAACCACACCAAACATATTGCGCTGTTTTCTTCGTCAAGGACGAAGTTGACAAGGGCAAGGTCGATCCGACCTATTTCCCAACCGGGTGACATGGCAACCGACTTTCTCACGAAGCGACTGCTACGTTCAAAGTACCAGCACTGCTCCGAACCGAGCGATGTAGTCAAGCAAGTCAAGACTAGCTACGGCGAGGAATGAAGGGGGGTGTTACGAACAATAAATTGAGAACTACTGTGCATTCCCACTAGTAGCAAGTCAAGATACAAAAGCGAGTATGAAGGCGAAAAAACATACATGACGTGAAGAGTCACGTAAGGTTGGCAGCATCTGGACCGTTGGAGCAGAAGCATTGGGAAGCTGCAGGAGCGAGGATTTAGGTGGGAGCAGGTTCGTAACCGTCTCGAGTCGCACCGTTGTGTTTTAGGGAATGTACGCCTTAGAGTACATGGCTAGTTAGGACGTTTGGTTTTCCCTTTGTATTACTATATAAACCTATGTATGTGCTCATTTGTATTATGTCATTTTAAATTCAATCTGACCTGAGATCAATACTTGTGCTGCAACTTACTCTATGCGAACCTTATCAGAGTAATTACCCTGATTTCAGGGTTATTTCAACCTTGTCACCTAGTGGTACCTGTAAGATCATATAACGACTTGTGAAGACTAATCCAGTCAGACTAATAATTTAGCGAACCCTGTAATTTTGTATACACTCTCAGAGTAGTGTTCTTATGGTCCCTGTCAAAACAGAGTACGCGTCCTGCGGACCTTGAATGAGACGCTCTCGGGACGAAGCTTTCTGGAATTCTCCTACGAGTCCCCCTCATGTGCGTAATCATGATTTTGCCTTCCCCTGCGTGAGGGACCCCTTTCACGCGCAGCACTAACGTAATACCGACAAGTAACACCACGCTCCGCTGTACAGCACCGCTGCACAGCACAACTCTCAACTTTGACAGCGCAACCAGAATATGATGGTTAGCTGCCACGAGTACCGCGCAAAGCACAGTATGTGTCCCTCATTGGCCAGATATGTTTTTTTTTACAGTCGCCGCTGGCAGACAGGCTGTCCTTCAATGTATTCGGCCTTGCATGAACGGCCGAATTAGTTGACGACTCGAGGTTTGTGGCATCGAGACATCAATTTCGTGGCAACGCGGAGGTTTCTTGCTGACCCCGTCTTCTCCAACCATCTCTTGCTTCCCCCTCCCCTAGGCCAGGGTCCTGGATGTGCTGCGGTTATTTTTCATTTCGTTCAATCATTCTCTCAGTATCTCTCGCTCCCCGTCTCTTCTTTATCGCCGCCATGGAATGCCTGCATGCCGACGATGCTTCTCCTCAGGATGGCTCAGATGAGCCACCGTTACCGCCGAAACCCACGGAGCCTACCCTGCCGGAGAAAGCTTCTGATGCCCGACGCACTGGGCTCATTTTTCTTAGAACTAGTGCTGCTCCAGTAACACCCGATCCTCCTAGGTCCACCTTCCATGACTCTGCAGCTAGAGAAACCTCCACTCCGACTGAGTCTCCCCATCCCGCCGCCTTCACTCTACCCCCACCTGTTGCTTCTTGCAGTAAAGATCCCCCACCGGCCGCGCCAAGTCCGACACCAAGCACGGTGCGGGTGTCCGTTGGTCCACCACCTCATGTCGCTGAGATCCAGGAGTCAACTGACATCCCTGTCCGCGCGGACACCGGCTCGCCCGCACTCACCAAGATGCAGCTGAGAGAGCAGATGTACCAAGCGGCGAGTATCAATTACGAGACAAAGTGGTCGGGCCAGTTTTCGTGGCTTGTGTTTGGGAAAACCAAGGATGAATTTCCCTATGTGAAGTGCAGCGTCTGCATGTCGTACGGGAAGGAGAAGACGAAGTACGCCAGGCAAGGTAATGATGGTGGACGTGACTTACAGACGTAGTCTTTCCGGGCTCACGAGCACACGGACGTTCACACGGAGGTGGTTGATCGGCAGATGAAGATTGCGCAGGGCATCTGCGAGGGGCAGCAAGTGATTTCAAGCTTCATGAACTCAGACATCGAGGGGAGGCACGCGATTCGACTCATGCGGTCGGTTGAGTTTCTCTGCAAGTGCGACGCGCCGATCAGCATGTTCCTGAAGCTGATGCGGCATCTCGTGGAGCAGGACACACCCGAAATTCCGAGGCAATCCTACGTGGTCTATCTCACTTAGTATGGCACTGTTTCCGAGTGTTGCTTTGTTACGTGTGTTGCGTTTAAATGTTTACTTCATTTGTTACTGACAATTGTACTTACAAACATGTGCAGGTACGGCTTCTAGCAGATGGTTCACAGCATCAGTTTCTACCTGACGAGGGTGCAGATGGACCACATCCACCCTTCCCCATTCCTGGGCCTCAACTGTGACGAGAGCATCGACCAAACGCGAGGGAAACATATGATTGTTTACCTCACATTTTTGAAAAATCGCCAAGTCGCCTGCGAGATTTCACCCTGCTCAGAGTTGAGAAGTGTGATGCAGGGTCTCTGTTCGAGGTGCTCATGAATCATCTCCGCTCCTCATCCGTCAATGTGTCCAAGATCGTGGGAGTCAATACGGATGGGGCGTCGATCATGATAAGGAAGGATAACGGCTTGGTGGCGCGGATTAAGGAACACGTCCCGCATCACCTTTCCTGTCACTGCATCGCCCACCAGTGAGTTTATAAGGTGTGAAGATGCGCAAGACATGTCACTTGTTTTACTCACACATGTTGTGTTATGTCCCCTGCGTCCTACAGGGAGGCTCTGGATGTGAAGGACGCTACGACGTCAAAGCCGGACCTGGACATGGTGGACAAGGTGGTGCGCACCGTGGCGGTAGAGCTCAGGAAGTCGTGTGTCTGGAGTCAACTCTTCAAGTACCTGCAGCGAGTGATCTACAACACGGACCTTGAAGTCCAGGGGATTCACACGGTTCGGTGGCTGTCACGAGGGGATGCGGTGCGTCGGCTGTGCAAGGTCCTGGGCGCGTGCATCGTTCTGCTCTGGGAGAACAGCCACAAGGCGTACGAGATTGTGACGTGCTACAAGTTCCAGTTCTGCCTGTTCTTTCTTGCCGACATCCTCGCCGACATGAACGACCTCAACCGTTGCTTCCAGAAGCGTGATGCAAGTTTATTTTACTTTCGCGAGTAGGCCTCTATTTGTGCATGGTTTGTTTTACCGTTAGTAACTGTCTAACATGTGCTCAATGGTGGTCTTGTGACACCTGGATGTAACGGAGATTTCTAAGACCATTGAGTCCACCATGGCGGATCTGACGAAGCGGTACTTGACGAACAACAAGCCGTTCGGTGGCGAGAGCAAGAGCGGGCTGGTCGGCTTTCTGAAGCTGCACGGGCAAGGCGGAGGCAAGAAGGTCCGGGTGCGAGGCGTGGACGGTGAAGGACGCCCAGTCAACCACCTCTACACCATGCACGATAGGAAGCTCTCGGGGCACAAGTGCGGAAGCACTTACGCCGAGTGCGTGAAGTTGTGCCGCATGTTCGCCCGCGATTGCGTGGACAACCTCAACGAGCGTCTGGATGACCTGGGGAAGCTGGGGCCGACGACGCTGTTTCGGGCGGGGAAGTGGCTGAAGATCAAGGCTCAATGGGAGCGGAAGTGCCGTGTGTGGCTTCTGGGATGCAGCAAGATTTTCCGCAACAAGCTGACGGGATTCGACCTCAAGGCCGCAGAGAGGGAGCTCCCAACATTCTGTGCGATTATGGTGCACCACGAGCTGGAGAGCTTCAAGCAGTGCCTAACCAACATTCTCCGGAGCACAGACTCGAAGAGGTAACGCACTGCTCGGGGCAGCGCTGTTTCTGGGTGTTAGTGTGCTGTGCATGTCATAAACGTTTCTTCACGGTGTGTGCTGCTGCGTGATTGTACCTGGCAGGAGATGGCCCAACCTCATCCTTCTGTGGCAGGCGATCGCGGTGCTCCCCGTGTCAACCGTGGAGTGCGAGAGGGGTTTCTCCAGGCCGTGGGTGCGAGGCGCACTCTGCAACGCGCGGCTGGGCGAGCTGATGCAGATCTCGCTACTGAAGTATGACATCGACTTGCCGGAAGCACTGGAGGTCTGGAGGTCTATGAGGAGGAGGCGCCCTGCGAAGAGCACGAAGCTGGCTATGGCAGAGCGTGGCAGGAAGGGTAAAGAGAAGGAGGGTGAAGACGAGGTTGCTGGAACTGCCGGGCAGAACGAGGAGGAGGAGGGGGAGGAGGAGGAGGAGGATGTGGAACAGGACCTGGGCGACGATCAGGAGGTTGTGGGGGAGGAGGAGGACGACAACCCCTTCCTCTCGGACGATGAGGATATGGAGGAGGTGTTCCACATTGACAAACCGGTGCACTAGATAGTGTAGGAAGCTTCTAGCATGCTGTATACCGCAGTGAAAAGCATAGTGCAATTTTTGAAGCAACACTGCATTCGTGTTGTGAACCATGACGCATCAGATTGAGACTTCGTTGGACACTGAGCAATCAGAGTAGCAGACCTCTGAAAAAATGTACACCCATAATACAGGGGGATTTTTTTTTTCCGGAATCAGGGAGGCCTAATATGGAACGTCAGCCCTGGCATGGAGGCGTTGAAGCCATCGGCAGCAGTGGAAATGAGCATGCCCGGAATGTGCGGATGCCAGTGCAGCTCCTTCATGTCCGTCTAACCCTGTTATGGGTACGGGAGGGAAAGGAGGGGAGCGGAGAGAGGTGTTGAATAGAGATATACCAAGCAGCAGCAGTGGATATCAGCATGCCTGGGATGTGCAGATGACACCATATCAGAGGGGGGTGGGAGAGGGCGACGAAGGGGAAGGAGGGGAGCGGAACGAATTGTTGAACAGAGAAGACCAGGAAGTAATGTAGTTAAAGCAGCAGTAGTGGAAATCAGAATTCCGGGATGTGTGGGTGCCAGTGTAGCTCCTTGATGTTTGTCTGACCCTTCAGTGGGCGGCAGAGGAGGGTGGGAGAGGGGAAGAAGAGGAGCAAAAGGGGTTCATTGAAGGAGACAGAGGAGGAAACTGGTTGCAGCAATAGGTGCGGGTAGCAGTTTTGAAGGAATGGTTCCTCTACAGCACACATGTTCCCAACAAGTGGCATTTGTTGAACTCCTTGGGAAGAGAAAGTGATGCACATTGCAAAGGTAAAGTGAAAGCGAGAAACGACGCCAAGGCGCGGCAGCAAAGACAGTTGAGGCAAGAGCTAGAGATGCTAGCTATGCCTACCTAAAGATGCGGAAAAGCAAGAGGTGGAGAAAGATCAGCGATGGCCAGGAGGTGAGTGAGTGCATTGTGCTTGCTACCACAAACCACAGCATGGCCGAATGGTGCTCGTGTGGATGGGTGGTGATCAACAGAGAGGTGAGGCTCCAAAGGGTGGCAGCGCTTATGCGCAAATACAGCATGATGGTTGGGCGAGGGTTAAAGAGTTCGGGCGAAAGTGCGCAAGGGAGAGCATGCCTGGTGCACGAAGAGCAGCTGGGGAGGCAGGTCTCTCTACACACGATGTTATAAGCACATCAGAATCTAGAAAGTGCGGGTGACAGAGTGGAAGCGAGAGAGCATGCCTGGTGCACGAAGAGCGGCTGGGGAGGTAGGTCTGACGGCGCCTCTGGTTGCGGCTTCTTCTGCCCTGCCTCAAACTCCGCCTCTTCCTCTGCATCTCGCTCCAATGACAGGTCCCATATGTTGTTCCGCACATGGTGGCGGGGTAAGGAAAGCAGTTAACGGGGTGGGTGTTGGTGCAACCCTACAGTTTGCACTCGGCTTGTTGTCCGTGTGCGTGAATGTGTGTGTGTATGGAATGGTATGAGGGCATGGGATAATATATATTTCATGCTTATAATTGTGTGTGAATGTTGAGTCATGATGTCGAGTGTGTGTGTCGAGTCAATAGCGAGTTATCGCTAGACGCGTGTTACGCGGTCGTTTGTGTCTCGCGCGCGGTTTCTATTTCGTCGTGCGCGGTTTCTATTTTGTCCTGTGTCGAACGTTCGGCGTGTCGCAGGTGTGTGCAGCAGACCCATCAAGAACTCAAGGATGAGTTTGTGATGAAGAGCCCGAGCCTTGGTGTCAAGCCTCAAGTGATTTCGAAGCTTGCCAAAAGGGTACACCTCAAGATATTGAAGATAGTTACATTACTTTGTGTAGTGTAACATTTCACTTGGTGTAGGCCCTAGTGAAGGGTAGTTTCGAGACCCTTCGTGGTTGGGGACAGTGTGGCACTGTTCCACATCACTGTACCTCGGCTCTTGGGGTTTGTAGGAGCTGGGAGTCATTCCCAACTCGTAACTCTTCCTATCTTGTGTTCTAAAACTATAGTGGCTGCCATAGTACCGTTCGTTCAAACCGACGCTGTGTCGTCAATTCTTTATCAAATCGTGCAATCTAAATTGCTAATTGTAGACGACGTGAAGACGCTCCAGATCCAATTTGAATCAAGTCATTTGCAGCTGTGAGCAGAACGCTATCAACGTTTGAAGCCGCTGTGCAGAAATCCGTCTGTGCTCTCGATCTTTCGTTTTAGGCACATTCAAGCCTATTGTGACTATAACAGTGGGGGGAGGAAAGAATGGAGGGGAGGGGTAATGGGGGGAGGGAGGGTAGGGATGATGAGAACGAAAAGGAGAGAGTGGCATTTGCTGGTGACCTCAACTCCCACCACCACCACTCCCCCCACCACCACTCCCCCCACCACCACTTCCCCCACCACCACTCCTCCCACCACCACTTCCCCCACCACCACTCCCCCCACCACCACTTCCCCCACCACCACTCCCCCCACCACCACTCCCCCCACCACCACTCCTCCCACCACCACTCCCCCCATCACCACTCCCACCACCACCATTCCCACCACCACTCCCACTACCACTACTCCCACCACCACTCCCACCACCACTCCCACACCACTCCCACACCACTCCCACACCACTTACGTGATCTGGTGGACAACGCAGGAGGTAGCGAGCGTGGAGCTCTCATGCTCCACTCGATGGACATGATGGGCTGGCGGTGGTGGTTGAGTTGCGCTATGAACAAGCACAGGCTTGGAGCGAGTGGCACTTGCTGGTGACCCTGACCCCCCCACCCACCACTCCGACACCACTTGCGTGATCCGGTTGTCGCCACAGGAGGAAGCGAGCGTGGAGCTCTCATGCGGGCTCCACTCAATGGACGTGATTGGCTGGGGACAACGCACAAGCTGGGAGCGGGTGGCACTTGCTGATGACCCCAACTCCCCCCACCACCGCTCCCACAACCAATCCCACCACCACTGCCACCACTCCCACACCACTTACGTGATCTGGTTGTCAGCGCAGGAGGTAGCGAGCGTGGAGCTCTCATGCGGGATCCACTCAATGGACGTGATTGGCTGGCGGTGGTGGTTGAAGTGCGCTATGAATGTGCCCCTTCCCCACTACACTCTCCCACCACCACTCACGTGATCTGGTTGTCGCCACAGGAGGTAGCGAGTGTGGATATCTCATGCGGGCTCTACTCAATGGACGTGATGGGCTGGCGGTGGTGGTTGAAGTGCGCTATGAAGGCGCCGCCCTCCTTGCCCGTCCCCGCCTCCCGCAGCAAGCGCAGATCCCAGATGCGGAAGGAGCCGTCATCACACCCCGATGCCACCATGCAGCTTGCCAGTCTGGGACGTGGGGAGAGAGGGGGCACAGGGGGAGACAGAGAGGAGGGGAGCAGAATGCGCGAGCAAGGGCGGTGAGAGGGGCGCAGGTCCCATATGCGGAAGGACCCGTCGTCACACCCCGATGCCACCATGCAGCTCGCGACTCTGAGAAAAGGGGATAGAGGAGGGGGGCGCGGAGCGGGGGAGGAGGGCAGCATGGAGTAGGAGGCCAGGAAGAGGAAGGGATGGAGGCGGGAAGTGCAGAATGTGCATGCAAGGATGTTAAAGGGAGTGGGTGGGAAGGAGTCAACAATGACAGGAGCGAGTTTTGAGACGCCTCAAAACTTGGGGAGTGTGTGGGAAGGAGTCAACAATGATGGGAGCCAGCAAAGAGTAATGGCTCATGTAAAGAGGGTTGGTGGAGAGAGGAGAAGGAGTGGGGAGGGGAGGACCCGGAAGAAGGGGTTGAATGTTCAGCAGTGCAGTGCAGAGCAGAGCAAGGCAGAGCACAGCACAGCCGAGCAGAGCGAGGCATAGCAGAGCAGAGTAGGGCAGAGCAGAGCAGAGCAGAGTAGGGCAGAGCAGAGTAGGGCAGAGCAGAGTAGGGCAGAGCACATCGGAGCATACCTGTTCCAGGAATTGAGATTAATATCGGCGTCATGCGCCTTGACTCGCAGCGCAGAGGAGGGGAATGAAGATCGGAGATTAGGCAGCGTAGAGCACTGTGGAGCACATCACATTGCCCCCATGTTCCAGGAGATGACATTGACATCGGCGTCATGAGCCTTCACTCGCAGCGCAGGGGCGGTGCGGGAGAGGAGGGGAATGAAGATCGAAGATGAGGCAGAGCAGAGCAGCACATCACAGCACAGCAAAGCGGAGCTCACCTGTTCCAGGAGATGACATTAACATCGGCGTCATGCGCCTTGACTCGCAGCGCGGGTGCGGTGCGCGAGGCAGCACGCACGTCCCAAAAGCACACCGTGTCGTCCAGCCCGCTGGATGCAAACACCTCGGGCTTTGTGGCTCCACTGGTCGTGGTGATGTGGTGGGTGAAGGGGGGGGGGGGGGGGGAAGGGTGGGGTGGAGGGGGGAGAGGAAGGAAGAGAGGGGAAGGAGATGACATTTGAGTCCAATTGAAAGCCACCCCGCTGGATGCAAACACTTCGGGCTCCACTGGCGGTGGTGTTGTGGACGGGGGAGCAGGGAGGGGATGGAGGAGAGGGGAGGTGGAGGGTGGGTAGGTGGGTGGGCTCTTGGCATACAGACACGAAAGTGCTCTTGGCATGCAGACAAATCTGCCTTGACCCATGCCCCATCCCCCATGCCCCATCCCCCATGCCCCATTCCCCATCCCAAATTCACCATCCCCCATGCCCCAACCCCAATGCCCCATTCCCCATCCCAAATCTACCATCCCCCATGCCCCATCCCCAATGCCCCATTCCCCATCCCAAATTCACCATCCCCCATGGCCCATCCCCAATGCCCCATTCCCCATCCCAAATTCATCATCCCCCATGCCCCATCCCCAATGCCCCATTCCCTATCCCAAATTCAAAATCCCCCATGCCCCATCCCCAATGCCCCATTCCCCATCCCAAATTCACCATCCCCCATGCCCCATCCCCAGTACAGCATTCCCCATCCCAAATTCAACATCCCCCATGCCCCATCCCCAATGCCCCATTCCCCATCCCAATTTCAACATCCCCCATCCCCCATCCTACATGCGTCATGTCGCATCCCCCACCACACACACCTGTATGTCCTCCACGCTGCCCTGGTGCCCTCTGAACTTGCTGTCGCCCACCACCCGCTTGCCGCGACTGGGGCAGAAGCGATAGGGGGGGGCAGAAGCGACAGGGGGGGGCAGAAACGACAAGGGGGGGCATCCCAGTACATGCACGGGGGCAGTGGAGGTAGGGAAGAGGCACCGGGAACAGTGGGAGGTGAAGTCAGAGCAAACGGAAGCAGGGGTGCAGGCACGCAAGCATACCAAGACACGCAGAATCGGATGCATCGTGATGCATGTATGATGCATCAGCCCACCCAAATGAGCCTCCTAAACCGTGCATGAAGCAAAAATCCCAATATCGCCGACCTTCCACCTGCACTGCGACAACCAGAGCGGGATCAGAATCGTCAGCCACACCAAACGCATCGCGCTGTGGTATTTCTTCATCAAGGACGAAGTTGACAAGTGCAATGTCGATCTGACCTAGTGCCGAAGCGGGTGACATGACAACCGACTTTCACACGAAACGACAGCCCCGTCCGAAGTACTAGCACTGCTCCGAACTGAGCGGTGTAGTCAAGCAAGTCAAGACTAGCTACGGCAAGGAATGAAGGGGGGTGTTACGAACAATAAATTGGGAACTACTGTGCATTCCCACCAGTAGCAAGTCAATAATACAAACGCGAGTATGAAGGCGAAAAATCAGACATGACGCGAAGAGTCACGTACGGTTGGCAGCATCTAGACCGTCGGAGCAGAAGCATCGGGCAGCTGCACGAGCGACGATTTAGGTGGGAACACGTTCGTAACCGCCTGGAACCGCACCATTGTGTTTTAAGGAATGTAAGCCTTAGAGTACATGGCTAGTTAGGAATGTACCTGCTTGTTAATATTATGTCATTTTAGAATCAATCTGACCTGAGGTCAATACTTCCGCTGCAACTTACTCTATGCGAACCTTCCTGAGGTGATTGTAGGCACAATCAACCTTCTGATCGCAACATAGTACAATATGTATTTCATATGCCCATATACGTATGTATCTCTCCGTATTAATAATTTGTGTTCGCATTATTATATCTCGAATAAAAATTACCACACTATAAGCATACAACATTTGAGACTCGTTGGAGACCTAATCATTTCAAGGTATTATGTAAGGTGATCCTAGGCACAATCAACCTTTTGATCGCAACATAGTACAATATGTACTTCTCTCCGTATTAATAAATTATGTTCGCATTATTATTCTTCTCATTTAAAAATTACCACACTATAAGCACACAACATTTGATACTAGTTACGGCGAGGAATGAAGGATGTCGTATGCACGATCAACCTTCTGATCGCAACATAGTACAATATGTACTTTCTATGCCCATATATGTATCTCTCCGTATTAATACATTATGTTCGCATTACTATATTTCTCAAATATAAATTACCACACTATAAGCACACAACATTTGAGATTAGTTGGAGAGCTAATCATTTCAAGGTATGACGTAAATGTTTGCAAGTGCACAAAACAGTATGTGAAGACTGCTTGTAGCGAGCGTAGATTCAAGCAACAGCAGCAGATGGCGGGCAAGAAGAGGAGTGGAAGCGCGAGTGTGCAACGCACACCGCCATCGCCATGTATTACTCGAGCCATACCATACCAATTCGTGTTTAGGTGGCCAGCTGTTACGGCGTTACTGCGTGTTTACGCGCTCGCTCGAACAAGTCATTCCATGAATAGGTGCTGCGGTGGAGTGGAAGCGTTATGGCGAGCGCGCGTCGGTGCATTCACGGTGCCAGCGACGTCGCGCGGTGCTCGTCGCTGCTGCGCGCCTCGCCTGCGTGCGCGCACCGCCCTTCCGGCATCCGCGCGAGCAGCCGCGTGGGCGGCACTGATGCGGCAGCTGCGCGTTTGACGAGGTGCGCGAGAGGCGCGCATTCACGCGCCAGCGCCATCGGCGGCGCCCGCCACTCGCGGACGGATGCGCGGGAAGCTGCTGCGGAGTGATGCGAGGTGCCTCGCCCCTCGCCGCGCGCACCGCACCCACTCTACCCGCCCATCACCGCCCCGCTCCCCCCAACCACGCGTGCGTGCTTCGCCAGGACTCGACGCTACGAGCCGAAGCGCGAAAAGCGAAGCGCGTGGAGATCGCTGGCCGTGGGCCCGCCATGAGTCGGTCGCGCGCGGCGGCAGTGGCGTTGGCCAAGTGGGCAGTGGCGGCAAGAGCGTCCGTGAAAGGCGGGTTGGCAAAGTGAGTGCGCGAGTGGTGAGTGAGTCCGTGGCAGCAGCGAGAGTGCGATGAGGGCGCCAAGCGTGGGATGAGGGCGCAGCAAGCGTGGGATGAGGGCGCAGCAAGCGTGCGATGAGGGCGCAGCAAGCGTGGGATGAGGGCGCAGCAAGCGTGGGATGAGGGCGCAGCAAGCGTGGGATGAGGGCGCAGCAAGCGTGGGATGAGGGCGCAGCAAGCGTGGGATGAGGGCGCAGCAAGCGTGGGATGAGGGCGCAGCAAGCGTGGGATGAGGGCGCAGCAAGCGTGGGATGAGGGCGCAGCAAGCGTGGGATGAGGGCGCAGAAAGCGTGGGATGAGGGCGCAGCAAGCGTGGGATGAGGGCGCAGCAAGCGTGGGATGAGGGCGCAGCAAGCGTGGGATGAGGGCGCAGCAAGCGTGGGATGAGGGCGCAGCAAGCGTGGGATGAGGGCGCAGCAAGCGTGGGATGAGGGCGCAGCAAGCGTGGGATGAGGGCGCAGCAAGCGTGGGATGAGGGCGCGAGTGCGATGAGGGCGTCAGCCTTGTCACCAAAACCCCCCCTTCCCGCACCAAGCGTGGGATGACGGCGCTGGGTGCTGCCATCGCATGCCCATGCACCAAACCCGACCTCGCACCTTCCTCCACCCTCCTTTCCCCCTCCTGTCCCCCTCCCGTCCCTCTCGTCTCCCTTTGCTTCCCTCTCCTTTCCCTTCCTCCCCCCTCCTTTCCCACTCCTTTCCCCATCCTTTCCCCATCCTTTCCCCCTCCTTCCGCCCTCCTTTCCCCCCCCTTTCCCCCTGCTGTGCCCCGTCTGTCGCCCTCCTCCACCCGTGCTGCCCCCCGCCTGCCGCACGCCTTCTCCCGGGTGCGTGCTTGGGGCAGGCAGAGGGGGCTGCAGGCGCCAGGGAGCAGCGCCATGCAGGGGAGGCCATGGGCGGCCATGCACGCAGGCGTGGGCTCAACGGGGCTCTCCACTCGCCCTGCCTCCACACGCGCTGCTCATCCGCCCCTCCTCCCCGCCTGCTGCCCTCTCCTCCCCCCCCTTTTGCTCCTCGCCACACCCCTCCCCGCGCTGCGCCATCCACTCGCCCACCTCACCCTCCACCTCAACGGCTTGCCTGACCCACTTGGGGCTGGGAGTTGCTGCTGCAGCAGGGGGGACAGCAGCAGCAGGAGCACTGCATCCCCTCTCACCATGCGCTGCATCACCCACCATGCCACCACCATCAACACCACATGGCAAACACCAACTCTCAACCTGTCACAGCCGTGTTGATGCTGGCACCTGAGTGCACATGGCACTGCCCTGCACTGCCAATCCAATCCTCTGCTGCCCTTATCCACAACTCATTGCACGCAACTGGGCTTTCGTCATTCATTCAATCATTGTCATTGCAAGTGGGCACACACAATAAGGCCCCTATCCTACCCTACATTGGGCTTAAGCCTACAGGTGGCGTCATGCCAGCACCTACAGCATTGGTGCCTACGGCTACGGTACTTTGCACGCATTTGCACCCATGTCAAGGCAGCACCTATATGTAGTATTGGGCTGTCGGGCACCCATTCCATGCACCCATTTGCAGCTATGCAGTATCGGGCTGTCGTCATGTTGCCCACCACTCCCACCTCTCCATCCACGTTATTCCCACCCTTACCATGGATGTGTGCACAATAACATTTCTACAGTGCTGCGGCGAGTCGTTCATTATGGAGCGATCAAGGGATTTTGAGCTTCGACAAATGGGGAGCGGCGAAGCAGTTCATAGACTCGTTTTGACTCAACAGTTTTTTATCGACCTCACAGCGCGGAATTGCTGTTCGCGCTGCGAGTTCGCTGCTGCTCGAACTGACGGACACGGACTGCGCTGATTGAATAATGTTCGAACAGGTTACGAACAGGTTATGAACATGTTACGAACAGGTTACGATCAGGTTACGAACAGGTTACGAACAGGTTCCGAACAAGTTCCAAACATGTTCTGAACAAACTTACGCGGCTGAAGTACAGGGCAGCTGCTCGCGCACCAACATTTTGAGAGCTGTACTCTCGCCACCTGGAATGTCTCAGTTCGAGAAGGTGCTCATGACTCGAGCAACCAGAGCACGTGGCGAGACCGCGCACGCCACCATGAGTCAAACAAGGGGATTGGCTTAAATCAGCACGCCTGTTTAGAATAGCGAGCTGACTCAAATAAAGAAAACGGATCGACGCCGTTAATCAATTTCGCGCGAACATTCTAAAATATTCGCTGGCGAATCGAAACTTAGCTGAGTCACAGGATTAAAACGAGGGAAACGTGAAAATGTTTGCGCCTCGTTAACCTTAAAAACATTTTAGATGTGTTAAATATCTAGCAGTAGAAACAACCTAGAATGATGATGTATGCTCTTGAATAATGAAAGATACATTTGACTAAGAATGCTCTCCCTTCGTAGCGCTGCTTAAGATTAACTCTGACTAAGCCGACGAAATGAGCTCTATCACAGTCACATTGTAGCTCAAGACTCACAGTCTCTCAACAAACTCGGACCCTTGGATAGGGGCTGACTTCGATCGGGCACCCAGGGACCCTCGGAGGTGACCCCGAGGAGAGGAGTTTCTTGAACTTCCACGCTTTGTTCGTGGTACCCTACCGTCCCCTCATGTTCCCCCCGTCCAGTCCCTTTCCTTGTCCCTGTGGGCTTGTCGTGCTGTGTCTCGTTACCGTGTCGGTCCCGTTACCGTGCAGACGGCCCGTTTCACCTTGTTCTCCGCTCTCTTGTTCCACCTCCCCCAGTCCTTCCACAGCCTCCAGAGTCGTCCCTCACGATGTTTCATGACCCGTTGTCCGACTACCTCCATGCCACCCGTCATGTCGTCTCCCGTGTTCTGTCCGCATAAATCACTCACCTGAGTGCCCCCCGTTGTCTGTCTCGGCACTTGTTACCACTGTTATTTGCTTTGCCTCTTCCCACTGACTTGACTACGCCGCTAACCCGGTGAGTGGCCCTGCTCGTTCTCCGTCCTCTAGGGGTGCTCATATCTTTCCCGTGGAGGTCCTCGAGGACATGCAGTTCGAGCTTGGTTTCCTGGCGGCTGCTGTTCCTTATCTCTGCACCATGTTGCTTGCCCCTGAGGGGGATCAAGACGCCCTTGACATCCCGATCCCTCGCACTCACGCCGAGGCGGTCTCGGGACCCTGGGCTTCGTACTGGATAGCAGCGGAGGAGGCATAGATGGCACCATGCAGGGGAGGCCATGGGCGGGCATGCACGGAGGCGTGGGCTCAACGGGGCTCTCCACTCGCCCTGCCTCCACACGCGCTGCTCATCCGCCCCTCCTCCCCGCCTGCTGCCCTCTCCCCCCCCCCCTTTTGCTCCTCGCCACACCCCTCCCCGCGCTGCGCCATCCACTCGCCCACCTCACCCTCCACCTCAACGGCTTGCCTGACCCACTTGGGGCTGGGAGTTGCTGCTGCAGCAGGGGGGACAGCAGCAGCAGGAGCACTGCATCCCCACTCACCATGCGCTGCATCACCCACCATGCCACCACCATCAACACCACATGGCAAACACCAACTCTCAACCTGTCACAGCCGTGTTGATGCTGGCACCTGAGTGCACATGGCACTGCCTTGCACTGCCAATCCAATCCTCTGCTGCCCTTATCCACAACTCATTGCACGCAACTAGGCTTTCTTCATTCATTCCATCATTGTCATTACAAGTGGGCACACACAACATGGCCTTAATCCTACCCTACATTGGGCTTAAGCCTACAGGTGGCGTCATGCCAGCACCTACAGCATTGGTGCCTACGGCTACGGTACTTTGCACCCATTTGCACCCATGTCAAGGCAGCACCTATATGTAGTATTGGGCTGTCGTGCACCCATTCCATGCACCCATTTGCAGCTATGCAGTATCGGGCTGTCGTCATGTTGCCCACCACTCCCACCTCTCCATCCACGTTATTCCCACCCTGCCTGCACCCATCCTTGAAGCTTGCAGCACCGCATTCACACCACAGCACCACACCACACCACCTTTCCCTCACCCCCTAACTTGCAACCGCCACCCACCAACCACCCACCCACACTCCCACAAACGCCCTGCTGTGAAGCAGCGCGCAAAAAAGGGCCGTGCCACCGTCGCTCCCCCATCCACGCCACACCCATCCGTCCTCCCCATCGCTCCGCGTTCGCTGCTCTCCCTGTTGCTGTGCTGCGCTGCTTACCTGCCTTTCATTCCGTCCGCCCATCTATGCTGCTTTCCTGCCTGCCATCCCATCCACCCATCATCTCTCACTGCAAACAGTCCGCAACCCCCTTTTTTTTTTTAATCTTCATTTTTCTTTCTGTGTTTCTTTTTTCTCCGTAAGTCGGACCAGTAATGACGTTTTTTGCTACTTTGTTTTTCCTTTTCGTCCTTTTTTGCCGTCAGAGCAGTCAGGGCCGCCATGGGCGCTTTGGGGTGGCAGTGAGCGCGGCCTTGGCCTTGGGCGTTCTGCGAGGCGGCTTGACGGCAGCTTCGCCTTGCACTCGCCGCACCGGCCTGGGCGCTGCGGCACATCGAGGCCTCGGGATCAGCGTGGGTCCCTCCACGCGCCGAATCGCTGCTCCCGTGTTGCTCGGCTTCGGGATGTGCGACGGGGGGAGCGACATCGTTGATTGCGTTGCTGCTGCCGCCATGCTGCGACCAGCTGACGGGCGTGACAACGCCACCACCAATGCCACCGACGCTGATTCCGTCGCGGTTGATTCCGCCGCAGCCGATTCCGCCGCGGCTGATTCCGCCGCAGCTGATTCCGCCGCGGCTGATTCCGCCGCGGCTGATTGCGGCGCAGCCGATTCCGCCGCGGCTGATAGCGGCGCAGCCGATTCCGCCGCGGCTGATTGCGGCCCAGCCGATTCCGCCGCGGCTGATTGCGGGGCTGCACATTCCGGCGCGGCGGAGTCCAGCGCAGCAGTTTCCGGCGCACCCGAAGCGGCGCAGTCGCACGCTGCAGGGTCCGACGCACCAGTTTCCGAGGATGCGCATTCCGACGCGCCTGACTCCCACGCTGCGCATTCCCACGCACCAGTTTCTGAGGCAGTGGCGTCGTGCTTGCATCCCGCGGCGGCGTCAGTGCGATGGCCGTTGTTGGTGCTGTCGCTCAGCGGCTGTACGCGCCGTGATGCGCTCGACTTCTCCCCGCCGAGGCTCTTCCAGAAGCTCAGCGCTGCAGAATACGACTCGCGCAATGGGGCCATGCTGAGGTAACGAGAACGCGACCGGGAAGGCTGAGAGGTTCTAGTAGCAAGAACAGAAGCTGTAAGCTGGAGAGTGATGAGAGGAATGAGCACGTGAGGCGGTGCTTTGTAGTGCGCAGGTGCGAGGGTGGCGAGTGGCGAGCGGAGGAGAGGCAGAGCGAGAAGCCTTGGGGTGGTTGGGGAGGGAGTGGAGGAGACAGCAGGGCAGCACGCTGCGTGCGCTGCGGAGAGATCAAGGCCCAAAAACAGTGCCTTGGGATCTTGCTTCGGTGCACTTCGGTGCACTTGGTTAAATTCAGCTTCGCGCGCAGTTCTGTGCGCTGAAAAGTAGTAACCCCGAACTGCTCGCCTGAGCTGGTTCGGCCTGACTTGTCGGGCCAAACCACTCACGAGTCGCCCCGTAACCCTCGCCACACTTCCGAGCCAGACTTTGCCCCTTGGTTTTCGCCTAGCTCGTTCGCGCTGCCTTGCCTCGCTAATTGCAGTCCTACTCCATAAGCTTGCTGCGTGGTAGTTTCATATCCAAAAGCCTTACCCTATGTGAATGAATTTTAAGATTTGCATATTCAACCCATTATCTGAATTAAGTCGTATTAAACAAGTGCGTTTGATACATATTAAACATGTGTATTGATAATTATAATTAGTGAATCCCTGCCTTGCTTAAAAGTACGTTTCTAGGGTTTAGGGTAATGGAGTGTGGAAGGAGAAAGCTACACAATATCATTTCGATAGTTGCTGCAAGCAAATACTGTTTTCTATATTTAGATATTAGCACAAGATTTTTTTGACAGTGTTAAAATTATCGGCTGACCCTTCTTAATTCACGCAATTCATTTAGCTTGCACAAGCATTTGTCTGGCGAGTTAAGTTAGACAGTGTTGTCAGATGTTAAAGTCTTAGTGATGTGTGTCATATGAGGTACAACAGTTAGGGTTAAGTTTATGTACCCCAACCAACCTATGTGAAATCACCATTCCGCTCTTGACATGGTATCACCTAGGTTAGGATCCTGTCGGATCCAGTTCCTCTCGTTCACGTCCGTAGTGCCCGAGCCTGTTCCGTACCCTAGTGCCCGTTACGCCCGTACTGTCCCCTAGCGCCTATCGCGCTCGTCTCTCTCGTGCCCTAGCGATCGCTGCGCCTGCCGTCGCGTCGCCCCTGCTGTCCCATCCCGTCGCGTTGCCTCTGCTGTCCCGTCGCTCCTGCTGTCCCATCGCCCCTGCTGTCCCGTCGCCTGTGCTGTCCCGTCGCCCCTGCTTTCCCGTCGCGTCGCGCTGTCCCGACGCCCCTTCTGTCCCGTCGCCCCTGCTGTCCCGTCGCCTGTGCTGTCCCGTCGCCCCTGCTTTCCCGTCGCGTCGCGCTGTCCCGTCGCGTCGCGTCGCGTTCGTCCCGTCGCATGCGCCGCGCCTGTCCGTCACGCCGCGTCGCGCCGTCCGTCCCGTCCCGTCGCGCCGCGTCGCGTTGCCTGTCCGCGTCGCGCTGCCCGTCCCGTCCCGCCGCGTCGCGCCTGCCCGTCTTGTCCGGTCGCGTCCCGTCGCGTCGCGCTACCCCTGCCCGTGGCGCTGCACCCTTCTAGTCCCGCCGTGTCGCGCCCTACCCTGCGTCCCGTAGCGCCCTAGGCCTCCAACTCTGCCAGTCACGCCCTACTAAGCCGCTCTAAGTGTTTAGGGTTTTGGCAGCAGCACTTCCCACCTCTTTGCTTCCACTATGGCGACCCCTAGGGTCGTGCGCTTTGACGCCGAGGGTAGGCCGCTCGAGTTCTCGGTCTGGCTCCTGCGTGCACGTTGCGTTTTAGAGAGTCAGGTTCAGGCAGATGAGTCTTTGTGGGCGCAAGCTTCCGGCGACCTTCCTAAGCCCGACGACCCTGCACCCTTAGGCGTTAACCCAAGCAGCACCCTTAGACGGAGACCGTTATGCCCGCCAGCGTGCTGACCTGACCGCGTGGAAGTCGCGTGACGCTGCGGCGTGCATCGCCCTCAGCAGCCTCCTCCCTGAGTCTGAGGAGGCCCACTTCACCCAGGTTCACACGGCTAGTGAGTTCCTGACTGCGATCAAGGCCCGCTATGCTACTCCCACCACTGTCTCTCTTGGTCGCCTGTTCCTCCCGTTCCTGTTTCGTGACCTCGCCTCGTTTGAGCGCTCTGCTAACTTGATCGCTCACATGCGCTCGCTTGATTCTAGCTACCGCGCTGCCTGCACTGACGCACAGCTTGCACTGCTCCCCCCCCCTATGGCAATTACTATCTATTTCATCGCCACTAGCCTCCCTGACCGCCTTGCCTCGGTTCGTGACGCGCTCCTTCTGAAGCATCCTAGCGAGCTCACTATCGAGGTCCTTGAGTCTGCCCTCAAGGACGTCGAGAGCAACCTCCGATCGGTAGCCTCCGTCTATGGTGCTGTGCCCCCTCCACTGTTTCACGGGTGCACTGTCCCTCAACTTCCCACCTTTACTGCCTCCCTCGCCATTGCCGCTACTGACGTGACCAGGAGCCTGCAGCTGCCGCCGACCGCATCCCTCGCGCCTGAACGCCGCCGACTTCATCGGCATGTATCACACCACGCTGCCTCGCCGTGCCTCCTGCACTGCTGCCGACTTGGCCACCACCGGCGTTGACGCCCACGTCGACGCCGCCCTCTGTGTCCACCGGTCGAGGAGACGCAGGTCGAGAAGGGTGCAACGTCGCCCACATGGTGTGAATGCCAGCCTCCACAACCGCCCAAGGGATCGTTGCGTACTCCTGGGCCCCATGGCGTGTCCTCGCGTCCTCCAGCTGTGCTTCCAGGGTCTCCATTCCCTTGGCGTCACCTACGCGCACGGTAGTGACTGCACGGCTGCCGGCCTACGAACAACTTAGGAAAGTGACCTCTAAGTCGACCTGACTGAAAGGTAAGTCGTGTGCCTTCCACGCTCACCGCACCATGCGGAGATAACTACTACAACGAGAGCTAGACTACGGGGTGCGCGTGTGATCTCTGCGTTCGTTCGTCCTTAGTCGTTTTCCTAGTGCACACACTGCTTGCTTGTTCACGGAGCAAGTTGGCAAGAGTTTCACTAGAGAAAGTTGACAACAATGGTACAATGAAGTTGGGAAGACAAGACTACATCAGAGCTAGCATTCAGGTCGGTCGACTGCCAGCGCAGCATGGTCGACCGCGTTCCAGCACGACTTGGTCGACCGCGCTCCAGCGGTGCAAAGTCGTCGGCGTGCCAATGCTGCAGGTTGACGGCGTGCCAGCGTTGCTCCCGCAGAACAGCAGCGCACCTACTTCGCAGGTGCTCGCAGATGATTAGCGGGCTAAGCCTAGTCACCTGCACAACGCACATACCGTGTCATCCTCGTGCTGACGACTCCACCTGATCCGCCACGTCGACCTCGGGATACCACCCCCGAGGTCAGCCTCGCCAACATCGCCTGGGCGACCGTCGCACTCTTCCGTAGAGCCTCGTCACCCAGGTAACCTGGTCGACCGGGCAACCACGTCGACCAGCTGCTCCTGTATGTGCCCGTCGACCTCCCAAGTCCCGACCACTCCAAGTCGGCCTCACCAGGTCGACCACACCCTTGGTCGACCAGCTCCAGGTCGACGTCACTCCTGATCGACCAGCTCCATGTCAACCAGCGCAGTCGTCAGCCGACCACCCAAGTCGGCTACCCGAAGTCGGCGTCACCAAGTCGGCGCCGACTTCAGGCCGACCTCTTGAAGTCGGCGACCTCCCAAGTCGGCGACCTCGCAAGTCGGCGACCTTGCAAGTCGGCGACCTCGCAAGTCGACGCCGACTTCCAGGTCGACCTCTTGAAGTCGGCGACCTCCCAAGTCGGCGACCTTGCAAGTCGGCGCCGACTTCCAGGTCGACGCGCCACATCGCCGACCACCAGTTGAAGTCGGCCGCCGGCTTCCCAAGTCGGCGGCATTACAGTGGCCCCGTGCAAGTCGACCAACCCCGTCGACCAGCTCACCCAAGCCGGCGTCGCCCACTAATGCAAGTCGTGTGAAGAAACTAAGAGAGGAATGAATGCATTAGGTCAAAGGTGAGGGGTACAAGTAGAATGTCGAGAGAATTACTGTACCCCCTAAGGATGAACCCACTACAGCCTAGTGCAATATAAACATATAATGTTTGACACACCCCCATAGGCGATTTGGGGGATAGCCAGGGCAAGTGGTCACAAGGCCAGTCAAGCAAAGCACAGCAAGCTCAGGGTGGATCACAACGTCACCACACATTCCGAGCACAAGGTCAAGGCCACAAGGCCAGTTCACATGCAGGATCATATATATAAAGATAAACAAGCAAGTGCAGGTATAGATAGATCACAGTACAAGCAAGGTCAAGAAGTGAGCAAGTGAGGCCAAGTAGGCACAAGACCTAGCATCATACAGAAGCGCTGATGATCACAAGGCTGAAGTGCCTTGGTAAAGATATCAGCAGTGTTGGCCCGAGAGGGGCCACGTAAGCAAGGCGCAGCTGACCACGCTGCTGCAGCTCACGAGCAAGAAAGTAGCGAAGAGCAATGTGCTTCGTTCTGTGCTCCAGTCTGTGCTCCCGACACAAGGCCAGCATGGCCTTGTTGTCTACGTACAGAACCGGAGGAGAACGAGGCGGCTCTCCCAGGTCGGTCAGCAGGTAGGTGAGCCAGCGTAACTCCTGTGCAGCCATGGCCCCTGCGTAGATCTCGGCCTCACAGCTGGAGCCGAGAACAGAAGACGAGCGGGTAGACGGCCACGAAACAGAGCCGGAACCAAGGCTGAAGGTGTAACCCTGTGACGACCGCTGCGTAGCCTGGTCGTCAGCCCAAGAAGCGTCTGCGTGACCAGTGAGGACCACTGAACTCCGCCCTCCAAGCACTAGCCCCATGCCCGACGTACTGCACAAGTAGCGCAACACCCTCTTAGCTGCATCCATGTGCTCTGGTCAGTGTCTCCCAGGAGCAACATAGCGTGCCAGGATGCTAAGAGGGTATGCCAGGTCAGGTCGAGTGCAGGTCATCAGGTAC